ATTTTGTTGAAATGTGACAATACAAGTGCTATAAGCATAACCAAAAACCCTTTCATGCACTCAAGAACCATACATATAGACATTCAACATTATTTTCTATGATATCATGTACTCAAGGATGATGTTGAAGTAACATTTATGGATACTCATAACCAACTAGCGAATATTTTCACAAAACCGCTTGCAAAGGAACTGTTCTTCAAGATACGAAGAGAAATAGGCATATTGGATGAGCATGATGTGTAATTATCAATACAAAGACTTTAAGGACATTAACTCTTATTCATCAATCACATTTAAATTACATTCTATTTTATATAACTTTTGGGTTAATTCACAATTTCATTTGTGAATTATTAATTCTCTATTTTTAGGGTTGGCATTAATTTTAGTAAAACAAATATAGCAGCAATATGTTAGATAAGATGTGTTAACTTTCTAAACAAGAACAGGTTGAGCAAGAAGTCCTATCTTTTGTAGGGACATGTTGGGTTGAAGTGTTTTAACATCTGGAGCAACATGTCAGATAAGATGTCTTATGCATGGTCATACGACATCGCACATGAGCTGAGCTGAACAGTTGGATTTTGTTGTAATTTAATAGATGCTGAATATTCTGGGAATATTATGTAATACTATGTGGAGATGATTTGTAGGCCAAGAAGAATATTTAAGAATATTGACTTTCTAAATAAGGATAATTTTTAGGAAAGATTTTATTGAAGACCTATTTTATAGAAGAATCTTCTGCAGATTTGTAACAGCTAAAAAGTTGTGATTTAAAGCCCAAATCCAGTTGGGAGATTTGGAGCATTTAACCTAGGTAAACATACCATCCTAGAATTAGAAAGATGCAATCATTAAGGTTGAGTATGTAAGACACTCTTTAGGAGAGTTGGTATATGTGAACCACTCGGGTTGTCAGATGGTCACTATGTTCTCACTCAAAAAACTGTAGGTAGTGACTTGAGTATTGTTCTTGGAGGAAGCTTTTAAGCAACTCTAAGTTGTTTTCCTGTCAAGTGTCTTGATGAGTATTATCATGGAAGTGTGTCTTCTATTTTTTTTGTCATAGAAGTGTGTCTTCTTGTATGTTCAATTGTTGTTTGTGATTAATGAGGGATTAAGGAGAGCCTTATATCTAGGTGAGTCTTAGATAGAAGCATAGCACAAGAAGTGATTAAGTGAGTAGATCGCAAACTGGTATGTTTGTTGTAGGGTCTATGAATTAATATTATCATAATGGACTGGTCCCTGGCTTGGTATGCCCCTAGAGTAGGAGAGTTGCTCTGAACTGGGTTAACAACTTATGTGTGTTGGTTTATTGCTTTTCAGTACTGCTTTTAATGATTATACCTTGCATGTGTTGTTTTTGTCAGATCAGATGTCTCGATATCTTACAGGACATCTGAGTTCTGTCATACCAGAATTTCATGAATTATTCTCTCTATTATGATTCTTCATTTATCAAGCATGTAATATGTGGTATATGTTACTTCTATGTGTTATTTGTGTGTTAGAAGTATTGTGTTTGTTCTATGTTTGATCATTGTCTTGTTATGTAGTCCCTCTTTAAAAAAATTCAAAATTATTCTGCATGTAACCGGTTACACCATTTGGTTAACCGGTTACCACTTTGAAAACTTTGTTTTATTTTTAAAATATTTTACCCAATGTGTGTTATGTTATATCATTGTTTTGTGTTGTGTTTTTTTTGCAATCTTTCTATTTATTGTGTATGTACATCAACTTTCTACTATTTTCCCCATCCATTTTGCTAATGACAAAGGGGAAAAGATGTGTATGTGTATGCTTGTCTCTAACTCTTCCAGAAACAAAGATGTCAAATTCTCTATGAATCAAGGGAGAACTTTGATCAAGGTGGAGTTATCAAAGTTAGGGGGAGCATTAACTTAGAGATTATGAAGATAAGCTTCTCCAACATTGTGTTTTGATGAAGAAAACTTTAATCTCTCAAGACCATGTGCATATATCAAATGATGAGAAAAAGCATCATGAGACAAAGCTATGGAATTAAGACTTGTATCTCAAGCAACTTTGTCAAGATGATATTGGATCTCTTTGGAGCTTAATCATCACTTTAAGCTACAATTTCCAAGTCTATAATATGTTATACCATAGTGCCCAGAAAAATAATGCTCATTTGAACTTGATGCATAACTCACTTTTAAACATCATGACATTTTCATTGAGACATGTTTTTCAGTTTTTCAATTGAACCAATCGATTGACATATGTCCTTAATCAATTGTTTCAAACATTTTATTTTTTGTAAGTTGTGGCATTTTAACTCGTCGTAACAGAATATTAAAATCACCACAATTCGCACCGGCTACACAAACGTAAAATTGACTTGTTTTTGAAAAGCATCAGGTGTAACTAGTTACACCTTTTGTTGACTTGTTACACATACGAAAATTTCAAATGTTATGCATTGCTTCAGTTGTAACTGGTTATGATAATGTGTTAACCGGTTACCACTAAAGCAATTGCACTTTTTGGCTAAAAATATGATTCTAAAGTATTTCAAACTTCATATATCAATCAAGGTATTGATTCAGCATATTATACTCTTTCATAATGGTATGATGCATGTATAAATACTCTATGTTTTAGATTTTGAAAACTTACCTCTTTCAATTCAATTCAAACTCATTTTCTCTCAAATTTCAAACAAGTGCTTTGTGTCATAAGCCTTTGTATGAAACTTTATGCATTCAATTTCATTGCATTATTCAAGTTTCAACATTACTTATGAGAACTTGTGTAACATATTGTGAGTTGTTTACTTGAAAGAGAAGATCAATTATAATAATTTATATACATCTTACATATTCAAACTTCTTATTAAAAATCCAGAATTATGTTTGTATACCTTGTTGTCCATGATTGTTGGAAGCAAGAGAGTAAAAAGGAGAGGATTGTTATATTTTCAACTTGGTTGAATCATAAGGTGATTTTCCTTAGTGATTTGGTTAGTAACTTGTGTATATAGACTAGGATTAAACTTATACAAGGTTTTAACGTTATTAAAATCTCTTACATGTTGTAAGGGGACTAGACGTACTTTCGGACTGTAAGAGGAACTAGTATAATCCATGTGTATTTTTTATTTGTATGCCTTTACCACTTTTATCACTTAACCATAAACCAGAAAAATAGAAACACTTATCTCTTAAAACCAGAAAATTTTAAAGTACCTAATGCACCCTCTTCTTAGGTACATTCCATACTTACAAAACTCATATACTATAGAGAGAGTGTTTACAAGAGACAAAGTTAGAAACAAGATATATATATATATATGGAGGAGAATTATATTTTTCCCCTTAAAGAAATAGGTAAATCATTTGAGTTAGTATCAAAAATATGAGAATCACCAATAGAAGAATCATTTTTAGTATTTACCTCTGTTTCAGCCGATTGAATTTATTTTTGGAATGAATTGTGTTTACTTCTTCTCTAATGCGCTAGAGTTAATGCTTAAGGTACTAATTCAGGAAAAATAGAAGGCATTATAGGGCCAAAAACTTTTATAGACTCGACTACAGGAGTGGAAAATGGATATATGCTCTAGGGAGAATAACAATAAAAAACTTAGACTCAGACTCAAGATAATTTATGTTCTCCCTTCAAGACATAGAACGAGTGAAGTATGACAAATTTTCATGGAAATTGACATATTTGAAGACAAGAATTTTGACTAGGATGATGATAAAAAATTTACCATCTCTTGTGAGGTTCATAACTTAAAAAGATAGAGGATCCATTGTGATATTATTTATGAACGTGTACTAGCACAACACAATCAAACATACGAAACTCGATTTTGTAAGATTAGAGCATGAGGAAAACAAGAGAACATAAATTGAATATGACTAACATTACCTAAGAATCAAATGAGACCCAATTAATCAGACCATATCAGCAACAATAAGAACTTTCTCTCCTCAGTAATAATTGATAAGAGACATTTTAAATAGGAGAGATCAAACAACTTCAAATAAATGACAACTTTTTTTATAACACCATTTTACTGAAAGGTGTCGATACATGTGAATTCATTGATGATTTCATGTTTAGTGGTGATGTTGGAAAAATATATTTTTCATTGTCATAACGATTTTTTTTGTACATTTCCAAAATTGTGTTTGTACTATATTATAAAGTTGAATAAATAATTGTGGTACATTTAATTTTGTGTTCATCAAGAAAATTCAAATTACTCAAGTAAAATCAACGATAAAAGAAACACATCACTTTGCACCAAATATATTAGAGGTATGAAAGGTCCCCAAACATCATAATAAATAATATTGAATGATTCTGTTTACAAATGTCAGCGGAAGAAAATTCCATTCATCTTGAAAGAGATAAGAGAATGTTGAGAAACTTATTTTCTGAATGAAAATTTATTTGTTGTACAATACATGTGCATTTTAAATAGGCACTAGAAAATAAGCCTAATTACTAATGGGCCTAATAGACTTAAACTAATTGGGCATGTGACTGTTAACACCCCCCTCAAACTGGAGTGGATATTAAGCAATCCGAGTTTGGATACATAGGATGTTAACGGTCCTAGGTGGAGAGCTTTGGTAAACAAGTTTGCAACTTGGTTGTGAGTGTTGATTGGCATTAGGTGAATAACTTTGTCTTAAATTTTGTCATGAATGATGTGGTAGTCCATCTCAATATGCTTCGTGTGTTCATGGAAGATAGGATTTTTGGCGATGTAAATTGCACTTTGGTTGTCGCAGTAGATAGTAACAGGGTCTAGATGTGTTATTCGGAAATCGTTGAGCAGGTATAGAAGCCACTGTGCTTCGCAGGTTGTATTGGTGAGCACTTTATACTCAGCCTCGGATGAAGAGTGTGACACAAATTGTTGTTTCTTAGTTTTCCATCTAATTAGATTGTCTCCGAGGAAGAAACAGAAGCTGGTAGTTGACCGTCTCGTGTTTGGACAGGCGCCCCAGTCAGAGTCGGCAAAGCCGGTCATGTGAGATGATAAATTGCATTTGAAATGGAGGCTTAGTGCAGGTTCCTTTTTCAGGTAACGAACGATTCTGTAAGCAGTTGCGAGATGAGTCTGCGTGGGCTTGGGCAAGTGTTAACTTAACCCGCAAACAACAAACACAATATCAAGGCGCAAATTTGTGAGGTACAAAAGCTTACCGATTATGCTTCTAAATTCAGAAGGGTCTTGTAAAAGGTCTTCATTTGGATTCTGTAGTTGCTGGCCTGGATCCATTGGTATAGAAACCAGTTTTGCTCCTAGCAGGCTTGTGTGGTTGAGCAAATCCAAGCAATATTTGCGTTGGCATAATGTGATGCCTTTGGATGATCGAGCTATTTCGAAGCCTAAAAAATATTTTAAGTGGCAGATATCTTTGATACTGAATTGTTGGTCCAGTACCTATTTTATGCAATTTATTTCAGAGATATATGTGCCTCAACTATTAGATCATCCACATAAATCAGAATAACAGTAAAACATGCATTATGATATTTAGTCAAGAGTGAGTAATCAGCTTTGGATTGTGAGAACCCAAGATGAATCAAAACAACGGTTAACTTGTGGTTCCATTGACGAATGGACTATTTTAATCCATATATTGATTTATTTAACTTATACACCATGGATGGAGGAAGTTTAAGGCCTGGAGGAGGCTTCATGTATACCTCTTCCTCAAGATCTCCATGGAGAAAAGTTGTGTTAATGTCCAAATGCTGAACATGCCAATCAGAAGTAGGAGTAATAGATAATAATAATTGTATGGTTATCATTTTTATTACGGGGCTGAAAGTTTCAAGATAACCAAGACCCTCAGTTTGATTAAAGCCCTTAGCAACTATCTTAGCTTTACATCTCTCAATGGTACCATTGGAGAAGAATTTTAACTTGAAAATCCACTTACATCCAATTGCCTTTTTGTTAGGAAGAAGAGGTGTTATTTCCCAAGTGTTGGTATCATTGAGAGATTTAAGCTCATTGGAAATGGCTTGTTGCCAATATGGATTAGTGATGGCTGAAGTGTAAGAGGTGGGCTCAGTTACAGAGGATATGTTTAAGTTAAATAGTTTATGTTGGGAAGACAATTTATCATAGGATATATAAGTATCAAGAGGATAAGGAATCATATCTGATTTAAGTGTAGGGGAGGATGGGATGTTACCTTGTAGAAGAGAGAAATGGTAGTCTCTTAAGTATGTGGGTGGATTGGATGTTCTGATGGATTTTCAGACTGTTTGAGAAGGTTCAACAACAGGGTTGGGGGAATTGTTTGGGGGAGTCATTTGAGGAGGTGAGGTATGGATGGGTGATGCTGTTGTTGGTGAATTTGGAGTAGTGTTGTTGGTGGGTTGAGGAAAGTAGTTTGGGGGTCGTCAATGTGAGGATGGTGAATAGGTTGAGGTGTTTGATAGGGTGTAGGTGTGGGATTTGTGTAGGGAAAATGTTGTTAAAAAATAGTGTCTCTAGATATAAATATGTTTCTAGTTTGAATGTCATATAAAATTGAACCTTTAACACCTTGCTTATTGCCTAAGTAAACACATTTGCATGATCTGGAATCTAACTTAGTTCTATTAGCATTAATACTGCAAGCATACACAAGACAGCCAAAAATTCTAATAGTGGAGTAGTCAGGGACAATATTAAATGGTAAAGTGAAAGGACATTTATGAGAAAGTAACTCGGAGGGCAGTCTATTTATGATAAAAATAGCATGGAGTAAAGCATATGACCAGAAAAGTTTTGGCAAGTTAGAATGAATAAGCAGAGCATGTATGACACCTAGAAGGTGTTGGTGCTTGCGTTCAACTAGCCCATTTTATTGCAGGTTATATACACATGAGGTCTGATGATGGATGCCTTGAGTTGAGTAAAATTCTTTTAGTAAAAACTTTGGTCCATTATCAGACCTTATGGTTTTAATGGTAAGTTGAAATTGTGTTTGAATAAATTTGACAAAAGTCTTAGCATGTGAAGATGTTTCAGATTTATTTTTCATAAGGAAAATCCAGCAATATTTGCTGAAGTCGTCAACTATAGTCAGAAAATATTTATATCCATTAATGGAAGGGCATGAAATGGGGCCCCAAATGTCCATGTGAACAGTTTCGAAAATTGCTGAAGTTTTTGTAGTGCTATCAGGAAAAGGTAAACGTTTTTGTTTAGCCTTAAAACAAATATCACAAGGATTATTAGATTTGTGCAAATCATTCAAAGGGAAAATTTTATTGTTGTGGATAAGTGTTTCATATGATGCGTGGCCAAGCCTATTGTGTCAAATGTTACAAATATTGATGGGGGGGACTTTTTGTGGGGAAAGGGTGGGGGAAGTGAGGGTGTATAATCCTTGGTTTAAGTTAGTTGTACCAATCTTCATCAGGGTATGGATCCCCTATATGAGACATTGAGAGGAAGTAAAGAGGAAGGCACAATTTAGGGAGCGAGATAACTTAGAAACATAAATAAGATTGGTATGAAATGATGGAATATATAAAGCATCTTGTAAGTAAAAATCATTATTGAAGTGAATAGTTCCAGAATGATATGTTGTGATAAAATTTTTGTTAGGAAGCCTAACAATGATGGGCCTAATCGATTGAATGGTAGTGAGTAGAGACTTAGCGTGACAAACATGATCGGTAGCACTCGTGTCCAACAACCATTCATAATTATTGTTAGAGTGAAGATTGTAAAGAGCATGTGTACCTGAAGAGTGATTGGAATTTGACTAAAGGTGCTGAATGCTGGCTTCAGTCGTGGTAGTGGCTTGTTGAAGAAGCGCAAGTAAGGCATGATGTTGCTCACTTATGAAACCAACGTCTTGGGATTCTTCGATTTGGCTTGTGGGAGAATCGTCATGGTCTGGTTCTTCAGTAGCTGTCTGCGCCATGTTAGCTCTTTTGAGGTAAGGTGGAAGCCCGTGTTTTTTGAAGCATATCTCAATGGTATGACCTGGTTTGTTGCAGTAGGTGCAAATCTTTGTGGCTTTAGGTTTGGAAGCGTAAGTAGGTTTGCTTCTTGAATCAGATGTACGACTTTTAGTGTAAGGTTTTTGAATGTTGGCAATGATAGTTTTGGTTTGTGGAACGGTAACTGTTGGTTTTCTTGTTTGGTGATTTTTCCGGCGAAGATTTGTCTTCGTCTGTTCCAGACATGGTGAAAGATCACACAGAGAAAGAAGGTAATGGATGTAGGGAGAAGGAAAAAAAACAGAGAAAGAAGGTAATGATGGAAGAGGATGATGAAGAAGAAATGTAGTGTATAGAAAAGAAAAGGATCAGAGTAATCTTTTAACTCTTGATACCATGTTGACAAATTTCAGCAGAAAAAAATTTCATTCATCTTAAAAGAGATAAGAGAATGTTGAAAAACTTATTTTCTGAATGAAAAGTTATTTGTTGTACAATACATGTACATTTTAAATAGGCACTAGAAAATAAGCTTAATTATTAACGAGTCTAATAGACTTAAACTGAGCATGTGAACTGTTAACAAATTCAACACTTTTATAAAAAATTGATGGGAATGAGGTTTTGCTTTTCTAACTAACACTTATCAAACTTTTAAGATTCAATAGAATGTTATAAGAACAAATGACAAAAATATAGACTTAATTTATATAAAAAAGAGGATGTTCAATACATTTGTGCCGAAGCTAAATTTGAGCGGAAAAATAAATAAATAATCATAATGGAGACAATATGATAGTACCTTTGGACCATGTGGATCCTTAGAGAACTAGTATAACATATAGTTTTTAGAAATCCCAATTGCCCCTCTCACGGTGCGGTTCTAAAAGTTACAATTTGGAAGCAAAAAAATGTTACATTAAAAATAGTATAATGGGTTAAGTTTGATTCAAAGATTTTTTTTGAAAAATATAACAATACAAATTGTAACGTGAATGAAAGTAGGTATGACAATAAAACTCATATTCGTAAGTATTTATTTGAATTCGTCTTCTCCAATTACAAAATATAAAGACGAGTTAGATAATGAGGGCACTAGTACTTACTCTGAACTCATCCCTGAACTCGTTCAATTTATTTTATTATATATATTATCATTTTATTTTTGATTATTTAGAATATTAAATATGTGATCAATATTTTGATAATTTAATTTATTTATTATTTAGAATATTTTAAATGTATATATGAAATTTTTTGAAATTGTTTTATTTTATTATTTATAATATAATTCGATTTTAAAAAAAATAAATATTTTTATTAAAAAAATCAATTTGATTAAATGGATGGAGACGGGACGGAGATACCCGATCTCATCCTGAACTCGTTTGAGACGAATTTGAGTTTTAATTCTCCATTCTCATTTGAATTTGGAACAGAGAACTTAGATTAGTTAGGGATTTCGATTTAATTTTGAGAAAGTAAAAATATCTCCGATCCAGCTCATTGTCCGGTCTAATTGAAAGTTTTGAGTCAATATTTTCAATTCTAACAACACAAACATGAGAGAGACTTCATGAAATTAATTGATTAGTAGTATAAAAGTCAAAAATCTTAACATTCTTAAAAATATTACCACAAATACCAAAAGATCGAGAGTAAAAACTGTTACAAATAATTATTGAAGGAGTACCATAATTAATAATTGTTTTCATTTAAGAGAAAATAATAGATAATGTGTTGAACAAATAACCAAACATAAATTAATCGTAGTAAAAAAACCTCAAAATTAAAGTATGTCAGAATTCGATATTGACCAAACCAATGTTTGGATCGCCTAAAAGGATGTAATAATGGCAGTGAGTGATTCATAAGCGTGAGTGGCGAAGAGACAATTGGAGCCCGTGCGCCAGAATGAATTTGGCGCTTATGGAAAACATTTATGGTGGCATTTTGGTGTATGGACGATCTAGGTGCGGTGGTCACAATGGTATGTTTTTTGGTGAAAAAAGTCTCTAACTAGGTCAAACAGATGTTAACAATGGAAAAGGATAAGCCGTGGCTATAATCAAAACAAATAACTCTAAATAGTGATAAAGCAATGGTTATCGGAGAAAAAGTTACTTGAGAAAAGGTTACTTGAGAAACTTTTTCTCCTGTAGTCATTACATATTATTGGAGAAATAATGACAAATAACTCTAAAAAAAAAAGTAAGTTGTTAAATGTTAATTAGTGAATACATAGGTAAATAAGGCAAAATATATTTTTGTCCTGTTTGTTAATTTCAAGATTTATTTTGATCCTTAATTTAAAAATGTTTATATTAATTTTTAACTCTTAAAAACATTTTATTTTAATCTTTTTCATTTAATTAGTAACAAAAAAATTCAGAAATCAGTCATTAAATTTATTATTAATTAGAAAAAAAAAATTAAAATGAAATATTTTGAAGAGTTAAAAGATCAATATAAACTTTTAAACTTTTTTTAAGTTAAAAGACCCAAATAAACTTTAAAGTTAATATACAAGACTAAAAAGTGTTTTGTCTGTAAACAAACATTAATTAATGTTGAAGTAAACTCCAAAAATTGAAAGAGGAATAATAGAAAAAGAATGAAAAAAAATTATATTATCAGCTGAAAGAAAAAATCCTACAAAATTGAAAAAATAATAATAATAACAAAATTTAAGAAAGAATTATCTAATAATTTAATAGGACTGAAAAACTATTAATATTATTAAAAACTATATATATATATATATATATATATATATATATATATATATATATATATATATATATATATATATATATATATATATATATATATATATATATATATATATATATATATATATATATATATATATATATATATATATATATATATATATATATATATATATATATATATTTATTTATTTGGGGCTTGAGCCCCCTCCACTCCTAATAGAACACTCAAAATGAAAAATAATCAAACTGTTATATATAATTATAAAAATAAAGGCGGTAAAGAATATCGTAGTTTTACTTTTGATCTGGTGTAATTTGAAGGATTCATTCTTTTTCTCTTTTTTTGGTTAGAGGTTTTTTTTTTTGTGTGTCTTGGATGAAGGATACTTGAAATTAATTGTCTAGTGGGTTGGCTGAGAACAAAATGTCTCAGTATTCTAGATGTGTGTTGGTTGAGAAAAGGGTTATGTGGTATGATCTTTTGACCCATAAAGAGTCTTTAGGAGCTGGGATTTGGTGTTTTTTTGAGAGATTTCAACTATATGACTGCTAGAGGTGAGCGGGTAGCGACTTCTAGCAATAACTGTTTAGACAAGAATACTGAGTTCCTTCTCCAATTTCATTTAAGGGATGCATCTTTTGAATCTCCCAATTCTAGGTAGAAAGATTATACGGTTCCAACCTAATGGGGAGGCGGCTAGCGGGTTGGATATATTTCTTTGTCATAAGTTTGGTGTGACCAGTGGGGTTTGATGTTAAAGTCGGCCATTTTGAGAGATGTCTCTGATCATTGTCCTATTGTTTTGAGATATGCTAATCAATTATAGGGTCCTAAACCTTTTAGACTTGTCAACTTCTAGCTTGGGCATGAAGTTTGGGATAAGTTTGAGAGATGGCATCACGAGACATCGTCGTTCCACCTACCATATGGTGAGATGATGATAATGAGAAATAGTATCATATAATTGCTACATTTTTAATCCATTTTCATACTGCATTAACCCATTTAACTCCCGATTTTTTCGAGTTTTTATGTCTTTTCACAGGTACAACATGTTTCAAATCAATTTAGTGAAAAAGATCACATGAAGAAAGCTAACATGAAAATCAGAAGAAAAGGAACTAATTTGCAAAATTCTGCAAATTTTGATGATGTGACGACCGTCACACATCCATTACGACCGTAACGCGCTCACAACATGAAGAACGCTCGTCACACATCATTGACGAACGTAACGCGCTATTTAAGCGCATTACGACCGTCACTTCTTCCTTACGACCGTCACACGCATAATTCAACGTTATGAAGAACAAGAGACGTGGGCAACGTAATGGAAGGATTCTTCAACTCCTACAATTTATCAACCTCACCAATGCCCAGTCCTGGTCTTTCTCCACTAAGGAAGTACAAGTCCACGTTCCTATTATTTCTTAACTGCAAATTTCTCTTCTATAAATAGGAGAGATTTCAATGAAGAAAGGGAGAGATTTTTTTACAGAATTTCTTGCGGAAGCCCTGCCAAATTTACGAACCATCAGTTTGCATTTTTTTGTTCTTGTTTTATTTCCCTTTTACCATTTAATAGTTATTTCCAACATTAGGAAATTGCTATTTCAGTTAGAATTTATTTTTAGCCTCAGAATTCGTTTCAAGTTCTGATTCCGAAGGTTCCAATCTTGCCGACTTGTGGAAGAGGGAGCTTGAGGAATAATATTATTATTCAGGTTTTTAATCGCATTTGATTTAATTTTAATACAATTTGTTTACGTTAAATTATTTATTTATTTATCATGAATGTTTTATTGTTTCCCGATTATATTTCCTGTATGTCTGTTTCAAGCACCATGACTAGCTAATTTTCTAGAGTCGGGATGTGATAATAGTAACTAAACTGATTAAATTGTTCCTAAGCTAAAATCTAAATTAACTTAATTTCTGGTTGTGACTTTTTATAATTAAAATCAATCTTTTTGTTACGAGAGTAAGAAAAGTAGAATAGGTTAAGATTGAGACCACGAAAGTGTGAGGTTTTAACTGGATAGCTAAAGTTAGGCATTTGATTTAAATACAGCGAGAGCACTTTAAAACGAATTAAATTTTATTAAGTTTTCAAAGAGTATTTTCTAAACACTTATGGGCTAGTGAGAGCAGGCATAGGGCTTTAGGGGTATAATCCGAGATAAGACCACGAAAGTGTGAGTTGAGGGTTTTTAAACTGATAATTTCTACAAAACCATCTAAGTTAAACATCTTTATACGCTTAGGTTCGATTAAATCCACTTAGGTTCACTATATTACATACCGATCGTTTTTACTATTATTATTCCCTTAATTCGATTTAGTTTCCCTCTACTTTAACCTCCAAAAAACCAAACGTGACAATATCCTCCCTAGCTAAACTAGCAAACCTTTATAGCACTAGAGTGATTACAAAGTCCCTGTGGGTTCAACATATTTTTATTACTACCGCGATAGGATGTGCACTTGCAGTTAAGATACCGTTAGACACATTAGGTCGATCGCACCACATCAAGTTTTTGGCGCTGTTGCCGGGGACTTTTGATTAAGTCACTAGTGCACTCATAAAGTAATACTGTATAGACTAAGGCAACTATTTATTTTTCCCTCTGTTACATGCCAAATACTCGCTCCCGAAGCGAGC